GGGGGGGGGGGGGGGGGGGGGGGGGGGGGTGTGTGTAGGGAGCTCTGCCTCAGTGCCCTCAGCTATAAATGGGGTGGGAACCCCCGAGGGGGCCTTGGCCGCCCTGGAAGTTCCCTTTTCTCTCTGTTCTTGGGAAGTCGATTGAGTAACGGCGGGGTCTCAGTTGAGGCCCTTGTGCTGCAGATGCACACGCCTGTCCTGGGCGAGGCTTTCTCGTCTCTGTAGCCCTGTCCCCAGACTTCCTCTGCCCAGCTCCCAGCTCTCACCCCTGTTGCCATGTGAGGACTCGGTGGCCCCAGTCAGCAAATGCCAGTGGTTGGTCACCCGCCTGCCTCCTTGGAGTCTGATGCCTTTGAAAGGGTTGGGAACTGGGCATCGCCATCTCTGCCCCTAGGGCAGCCCTGCAAGGGGAGGGTGGTGGACGTTTTGTGCACGAGAAATGAGGCACATGGAGGTGAACCAGCTGCGTGTGCCATGTGACCGAGATGTAGATGTGGTGACCCTGACAGCCACTGCCCTTGCTCTGCGGTCAGGGTCAGAGCTGGCAGCCTGTGGCAGGTGATCTTGCCCTTGTGCCCGCCTGCAGGGCTTTTCCGTGAGGAGGACTGTGATGGGCAGCCTGGCCAGTGAGGGCTGGCGGGGAGGTGGGTGGAGGCTGGTGGTGGCTCCACAAGGGCACTCAGTCCCTGGAGCCTGGGTTGTGCCATGCCGCTTCTGTGCTGTGGGTGCCACCAGGGGTGTGGGGACCATGGTGAAGGCTGAGCTTAGGCTCAGGCAGCCTTCCTGGAGGCGCCCACAGCATCCATCCCTGGTCACCGCTGATGCTCTGAGCAGGATGGTGGGCTGAGTCTAGGCCTTTCCTTCACACTGTTGACATCTCCTGCAGGCCCATGTGTCCCCAGGAGTCCCACGGAGGCCCGTGCATATGCACGGGGGAGGCCACGGGAAACTGCCAGGTCAGCTCTTCGGTGAGGAGTCCCTGGAGGGGTGTGTAGAGCCTTTAGAGAATGAGACATAGGGACCCCATCCCATGGACCCAGGACACCCAGGGCTGGCAGTGCCCGTGCTGGAGGTCGAGGGAGATGGGCTGTCAGTTCAGGCACGTTTGGAAGACCCCAGAAGGGCTGCTGGATGGCCAGGGCCAGGCAGGGCTGAGGCTGACCCTCCTACCTCCTTTGTAGACTGTCCGAGGCCCTCTGCCCTGCTCTCATCCCGGGACAGATGCCGTGTGGGAGGCTGAGGGGGAAACGCTGAGTTCCTTGGATGGAACCACTGTTCTGAGAGAAAGCACAGGGTTGGGGGACTTCTGCCCACTCCAGGCCCAGTCAGGTGGCGCTAGGCCCTGTGAGGTGCACTGAGCATGTGGGCTGGGGGCTCCACAAGCCACCTGCCCCCCCAGCATCTTCCTGCTCCTTCTCCCCAGGCTGTGGGCATTTGGGGTGGGGGCCTCGGTGCCCAGCTTGCCAACCCCTGGTTTTACCCTCATGCCCTGGGATATGCCTGTTGCTGGTGCTAGGGCAGGGAAGGTTGTGCATTGGAGGCAGCAGGGGGTGGGCTCCCAGGAAGGAGGATGGGGATGCCAGGTGAGCCTCTGGTCCCACACACGGCCCTGTCTTGAGCCTCTGATGCACTTGGGGTCCTGTGGTCCTGGAGGAATGTGGACGGCTGTGTGCCCACCAGGCTGCTCAGATCTGAGCACACACGTCTGCTCCTCACCCCTGCCCTGGCCTCCAGCAATTGCGCTTGACCCACCCCTTCCTGTGCAGGGGGGCCTGGCTGTGCTCGTCCTGCTGGGCATGTGCCATGCTGGACTCAGCTCCCCTCATCGTCCAGTCCTGCCTGCAGCCTCCCTGTGTGGCCAGGGCCAGGACTCTGCTTGATGTCCAGCTGCCTCTCCTGTGGCCCCACAGCGACCTGGGACAGTTTCTGTACCTGTGCAGGCTGCGTCTCACCTGTGCACACCTGCGTGTGTCTGTGCATGTGCGTGCTTGTGTTTATGGGTCTGGGGGAGCAGCAGGAGGGTCTGCCCTCTTACTCCAGCCCTCAAATGGCCCTTCTGGGGGTGTGGCAGTTAACAGGCAGCGTGTGGTGGCAGGCTCAGGTGGGTCTGGAGCAGTGTCCAGTATGGTCAGGACATTCTTGAGGAGCTGGCCTGGTGGGAGGTTGGGTGGGAGCTTGTTAGGGTGGCATGGGTGGGCTTTGAGCCAGGGCGAATTGAAGCCCCCTTCTTTTTAAAAGAGTTTTAAAAGTCATGTTTGTTGAAGAATAATTTCCATTAAGTATAATCCCTCCTGTTACCTATGAGTTTTGACAAACGTGGTCAGGTAACCACTGCCATCGTGAGACGTAGCGTAGCTGCTGGGCAGGTGTAGCGTCACGCCCACACCCCCAGGCTGCTTTGCAATCAGCCCTCCCTGACCCCTGGGAACCCACTGATCTGTTTTCCGTTAAAAGGGTCAAATTTATCCACAAAAATTATCTATTATGGAAAAGTTCATAAGCATGCAAAACACCAAGATTGTAAAAAGTGAGATATTCACAAAAGTTTTCTTTTGTGTCCTAACAAAATGAAGGTAGTTTCACATTTTACTACAGATGTGCAGGTATTTTTCTCAGTGCAGAGATGAGGCAGAATTATATCCACCATTGTCATGTATGTACCTCAACAGTAATATTTAAGAGCACACCATAAAACAACGTATAATTATTAGAGTGCCCACAAAAACACGAGTTTAAAATGACCTCTGGAAATTGAAGCACGGATCACAAAGTTGTCTTCAGATGGTGGTAAGACAGCTAGTCTAGTTAGCTGGAATTAATGTGTTCTAAAACTGACCTCTTATTATTATTTTTTTTTTAAAAGATGACCGGTAAGGGGATCTTAACCCTTGACTTGGTGTTGTCAGCACCACGCTCAACCAGTGAGTGAACCGGCCATCCCTATATGGGATCCGAACCCGGGGCCTTGGTGTTGTCAGCCCCGCACTCTCCCGAGTGAGCCACGGACCGGCCCAAAACTGACCTCTTAAATAACTAGTCTTAACTATATCTTTGCAGAGTGTGTGAAACAAGATTACGGACTTGCTGTCTGGTGTTAACACTGTGTCAAGTTTCAGATGGGGAGTGTTAGTCTGTTTCTGTAGCTTATAACAGAATGCCTGAAAATGGGTAATTTATAAGGAGGTGAAATTTATTTATTACAGTTTGGAGGGTGGGAAGTCCAAGGTCCAGGGAACACATCTGGTGAGGGCCTTCTTGGTGGATACTGTACACAGAGTCCTGTGGTGACCAGGGTGTCACATGGTGAGAACGGGCTGAGCAGCAGAGCTAAGCTTTTCACTCGCTGTCCTTATACAGCCATCAGAACCACGACCATTATTCCATGAATAGATTGATCCATTCATGAGAGCACAGTCCTCATGATCTAATCACCTCTTAAAGATGCCACCCCACCGTTCAATTAACCTAATAGGCTTTCCCACCCTCTTAACACTGTTACAATGGGGATCAAGTTTCCAGCACATGAACTTTTGGGGGACACATTTGACCCATAGCACTGGGGCTGGATGATAGGAAAACTGAATAATTTTCTATGGAAATTCTATGGAATTCTGTGGAAATTCCCTACAAAGCTGACTCAGCTATAGGGCAGAGCTACAAAAGTCTCAGATATATGAGTATTTTCCTACAGATGATTGGGAACTTCTCACAATTTATCCCTGCTGCCACCATGAAAGGGACACAGAAAACAAAACCCACTGTCCTGTACATATTGGTCACTGCATATTCCAATACACCTGTTTCCTTGAAAAGATTCTGTCAAGCACCAGCCCCTGACTCATCAGCATCTCGAACGTGACTTGGGCTGAGTCACACTAAGGCCGAAA